TCAAATTGGACTCGTAAATCAGTCGTTGGTGACGTGGAGAGAGTCGAAAGCAGCGTTGAAATGAGCTAACAAGTAATCGATGGGTGAAGGGAGCCAGTAACATCCATCGGCCGATCGTTACAGAATGTTGTTGAAACGAGCAGAACTCGTGGGGCAAAAATTCCAAACATTTCGTCCGAGTCACTCCACTTCCTGACTGACTCTCAACCGCGGGGCACAAAAAAAAATGCATACAATACTGACAAATTGATAAGACGTATGTGCAATAGTTAGGTATCTTTAATCTGAGAACAAAGATACCTAACTGTTGCACATGTCTTACACAATATTTCTGAAGACTGAGACACTTAGTTTCAATATATCATGGAATTACCCAGATAACTGCAATCAAATCTCTATCCCAGATTTTCGCTTGGCTGACTTCGTGGGACTGAAAAATTATCTGGGTGGGCTGAATTACGATATCCTGACTATGGGTCAGGTAGGTGATCCTGGTTGCCAATATGACGCTTTTTAGAGCATAGTTCTAACTGCCCAGACAGCTTTTGTCCCGAGTAGGGAAATTAGATCTAACAAAAATGATCCCAAATGGATGAACAATAGATTAAAACATCTCACTGGTCAAAAGAGAGGCATATATAGGCGTATCAAAAGAGGGGACGGGCAGTTAAGAAATCAGTATATTAAATTAGAGAGAGAAATAAAGAAACGAATAGGAAAAGCATGAACATCGACTACAGTGAGTTTAGGATGGACAAATACATGAATGTAAAGTAAAAGGACACAAGTGGTCAGTCGTCAGTGGTCAGTCGTCACGTGAGGTCACATAGGTAAGTACTGGTTTTCTAACAGAGTTGTAGATGCGTGGAACAGTCTTCCCAGTGGGGTGATAGAGGCTAGGACCTTGGGTAGCTTTAAGAAGAGACTGGACAAATATATGAGCGGGAGGGGCTGGGTTTGATTGGTGTTGGGGGGTGCGGGAGTTGTTTCTTGAGTAGCTTTAGGTAGATGTCGTTTTGATAAGGACCTGCCTCGTATGGGCCAGTAGGCCTTCTGCAGTGTTCCTACATTCTTATGTTCTTATGTTTAAGTACATGAGTGGGAGGGGTTGGATTTGAGTGGGACTTGCACATCGGAGCTTGTTTCTTGGGTGGCATTGAAAATTGGGTTGGTCAAATGTTTGTTAGTGGGATGAATTGTAAAGGACCTGCCTAGTACGGGCCAACAGGCCTGCTGCAGTGTTCCTCCTTTCTTATGTTCTTATGCGTCTTACCTACCAAGTACTGAGGGTGTCGAACCAGGTAAGAACCAGAAATAATGGATTTAAGTTGGATAAATTTAGATTTAGAAAGGACATAGGTAAGTACTGGTTCTCTAACAGAGTTGTAGATGCGTGGAACAGTCTTCCCAATAGGGTGATAGAGGCTAGGACCTTGGGTAGCTTTAAGAAGAGATTGGACAAATATATGAGGGGCTGGGTTTGATTGGTGTCATTGGGTACGGGAGTTATTTCTTGGGTAGCTTTAGGTAGAGGTTGTTTTGATAAGGACCTGCCTCGCATGGGCCAGTAGGCCTTCTGCAGTGTTCCTCCATTCTTATGTTCTTATGTAAACCCAATCCATTTCCAATGCTACCTAAACAATAAGCTTTGATAACCCTATTAACTAGTGTGCAAGTCCCACCCAAATCCAACACCTCTCACTCGTGTATTTATCTAACCTAGTAGAAACATTTTTGCGCCTCACCCTCCATGACCTTCACCGCCGGAGCGACCTATATAAGCTGCGGCTAATATTCAGTGGTACCCTGTACTCAGTGACATCCATCATGGCGTTACACGGAGCTGCACTTTTAGTGATAGCGGCCTTCTTCCCGCTGGCTGAAGCAGTCGACACTTTGTTCAACATAAGGAACGAATACAGCTTTATTGATGTAAACTTTCACCCGATTATGTTGTACAGACGTCCGCAACTGGATGGATGTTCGTGTGTTTCGAGGGCTCGGTGCTCCTCCACCTGGGCCTTCCTCAGGAATATACCTCCCACACGTTTTGTCGTCAACATCCCCTGCACTAGAGGACGTATCACCTGTTGCATGGGGCAGGTGGTGAACGACCAGCCAAAGCCTGACTTCGCCAAAGTGATCTACAGGCTTCCCGAGAACGCTTTACTCGATTCTTCTGTACCCGAAAACGCAGTCCAGCCACCCGCTTCGAGACCCCAGGACTTCGAGACTGGAATGGAAACTCTAGTCTCTCAAATAAATAAGGCTGTGTATGTTGTTGATACAGTCCAGGCACTTCCAGCAGTTATATCAAATGTCAAGGCAATTCCGCAGCTCCTGTCCCAGTTCCAGTCAATCGGCAAGCAACCCAGGAAATAATTCTTTACCGTGCCATTTAAATCACAAATCTATATAAATTTTATTCTGACGCCAGTGTGACGTACTAAATATACACTGATAATATATTTTCTCTTGTTACTTTTATTTTGTGTTTTATTATATTTTGAAAAAAATATATACATGCATGAATGTTTTGAGTTTTCCTTCGCCTAAGTTAAACAGTTTGGCAGAAGTGTGGATATTTGACCATCCCATTTCTATGTAGTAAAAAGGCAAACGACTGGCGACAACTTGAGAGAAATGGATAAGAATGCACCTTAGAAAATTTTCGGTCCCTGGACCTTGCTTAAAATATTGGGATGATCCACTTCCATTAGTCACTATACTACTTTACCTCTCGTATTCACATTGATGTAGATTTGCCAGGACGAGTCCTGGCCCGGGTCTTCATATGGTGATCCTGAGGTGGCTTCCGAAGGAGTGTCAAGAGTTTGTACAATTTACAGCCCTATGGCAAGTGCACGGTGAGTCTTCAGTGGTGTAGGCTACAATCGACGCTAGTAGTTGGCTACAATCGTCGTCGACGCTCTGGCGTAAAAACGGGTGTTCTCGTTGTTAAAAAGCTTTGTTGCACCAGGGCCGCAGCCAAAGTGCCAGAGCGACTCAGGATGTTCTCTTGGGGTGGATGCTTTATCTCTTCTGTCTCCAGTATCTAAATCTCCAGCCTCAGGCTTCTATTTTCTTCTATTCATCAAAACTGATCACCTAACTTTACACGTCTTCCACCTCCAACAGACTCGACAAGGCCGAGTGACTGCTCATGTCAAATTACTTGCACCGTCTTCAGTAATTTTCTCTATATTGGATTGATACACCCACTGGATGGCGAGAAGCCTCAACAATAAAGATACCAAAATGTTGTATACATGTCTTGTTCACTTATGTTTTTATCAACACAAGTGACGCCTGTAATATAAACACAACTGCAAGATTTGTATAAATCGTTCAGTAAACCGACGTTGATAAATGACGCTTGTTCACTCTGTATTGGACTGAAGAATCCACGAGCAAGTGGCATTGATCAATAACAACACTGCGACTAGCCAAGGACTCGAACCCGTGCTGCTTAGGCCTGCCTCATGGTGGGCGAAAACTCGTATATAATTGCAGAACCCAGATTAGATGCGATACTTCACTCGTGTAATCAGTGCTGATAATTTTATGTCCGTGTGAAGGCGTAAATGTCTAACACACATCAGTTTACATCGTGTGTGTAGTTGTACGAGTGCTGGTCTCTCCCTGTCAGGTGCGTTACTGTAATTATGTTGGTGGAATTGAATAAATGGCTTATAAAGCAGACTGATTGCCTCACCCTCATCTTCCACAGTTTCTCTGCATAGGGACTGAAGAAACCACTGACTGCAGAACGTTTCCAGAATAAAGATACCCAAGTGTTGCACAGGTGTCTTACTTATCGTTAGTAGAATTACCCTGACAATATGCCACAAAAATCACATTGATTGCACATGTGTCCTTTACACCTAACAGGTGTGTTGTTTATTTCGTGTAATATTCACTCGCGTCTGCAGTGATTGAGCTCTTGTACTTCTGGTCAGGGGCGGATCTCTATGAAACTAATGAAGCTTAGGCTTCAGGGTCCTTAATCCCGGAGGGGCCCCAGTATGAGAAGGGTTTACGAAGGGACATCCCCATAGCAGTTGAAGCTTCGGGGCCCCCAAAATGTAAGTCCGCCGCTGCTTCTGGTGTGCCATACTCTCTGCCCCCTTATCGCCCTGTCATATCTACTTTTGAATTCAGCGTACAAAGTCAGCCTCCACTACACCCCCTGTCTACTGCATTCCACTTGTTCACTGCCCCTGACTTACTCTTTGGCCAATCTGAACCTCTGGTCTACAGCTGTTTTCTCCCTAAAACATTTGTTGATACTTTTGTGTTTAGTCGTAGTTACTAGTTGTCAAAGGCACTTGTTGACAGACACTTTGCTTTCTCTCTCTCTCTCTCTCTCTCTCTCTCTCTCTCTCTCTCTCTCTCTCTCTCTCTCTCTCTCTCGTGTGTAAGAGTTAGGAATGTCAATAAGACACGATATACGTGTTATATGACTTCATTGAGAAGACATTTCCTCTGCTATCAGTCACTTTATCAGTTGAATTGATAAAATCCGGGTAGGCGAAACGGATTCTTTATTAACGTTATAAATACTATACCATAGGCCTATTAACCCAATAGGTATATGCCTTTTCTTTTTTAATCTTTTCCTCCCTCTCTCCCCTCCCTTTCCATTTTGTTTTAGTGTCATGTTTTTATTTATAAGATTCCGACGTCCAGAGTAATGAATTATTAGAATCAACTCACTACCACTGAAGATAAAAGCTGAATTAAGTCATTAAAGAAGTGAAATTCCTTAATAAATGTTCCAATTCTGCATTTTACGTCTTGCATATTTGTCAGCGTTAAACAATTTACAACTCTACCAACTCTTGCTCCAGCTTAACCGAAGTTAATCGAATATAATTAAGGGAGGGAAAGAGCGAAAGAGCAATTTTGGTGTTAGTTTTCCCATTTATCCGATTCATTACATTGTTACCTATTCGTTTAATATGTATCTTCTCGTTGGAAAAGATATATTTGTTTTACAGGATGAATTAGGTGATTCATGAGCACCGGGAAGCCGCCGTTGGAGATGTAAATAAAAGGAGGGGAGCTTACGGACTCCTTCAGGATGAGCAACCCAGAGCCAGGAGAGAGTAAACTGTGGGTGGAGGAAAAATTAAAGTTCATCGAAGAAGTGTTTCCTGGGGTAGACAGGCACATCGTCAGAGCATATCTGGAAGAGTGCGAGACGGAGGAGGAAGAGGCGGTGATGCTCGTGGATCAGTTTCTCCAGGTGATGGGAGCAGAGAGAATAGAAGATGAAAACTCTATATCGGCCGAATCATCGTCAGAGAATATGGAGGACTACGTATGTGTCGCACCAACTTTATCTCCCGACCAATGTATTGATGAACTAACTAGTTCAATAGCACTGGCAGGGAAGCCGCCACCATCGCAGGAGGAGAGTATATCACACAACGAACTAATAGCAGTTGCTAGTGGTTCTCCCGACCTGGCTGAGGAAGAAAACGGTGACAACACAGCACAAGTAGCACAGCTCATGACAATATTCCCAGACGCTCATCCTGATTATCTGCAAGAGAGGTGAGTGATATTTAACTGGAGGAAAGCCTGTTAACAATTCAATTTCATTAGTGTATGTGTGTATATATATATATATTATATATATATATATATATATATATATATATTATAATATATTAATATATATATATATATATATATATATATTATATATATGTCGTGCCGAATAGGCAGAACTTGCGATCTTGGCTTAAATAGCAACGCTCATCTTGCCATATAGGACAAGTGAAAATTTGTGTATGCAATAATTTCGCCAAAATCATTTTGAAACCTAACAAAAAAAATATATTTGATTGTGTTTGTTTAGTACTAAATTATTGTAAACATATTTAAAATATATTTAGTTGGGTTAGGCTAAAATAAATTGTTCTTGTTATAATAAGGTTAGGTAAGTTTTCTAAGATTCTTTTGATGCAAAATTAAAAATTTGTACATTAACATTAATGAAAAAAATATATCTTTAAACGTATAAGAGAAAATTTCATAAAGGACTTTATTTTAAATGAGTTCTTGTTAATTGACCAGTTTTACATATTCGGCACGACAAATATATATATATATATATATATATATATATATATATATATATATATATATATATATATATAAACTATTATAGTTTTTGTTGTACTTTAGTTGATATGCGAGTTGCATGTTTAAAATTACATGCACAGAGCCGTGAATAATCTTTTCGTGACTAATACCTTTCTATCCAGGAGTTTAACTAATCTCTCCGTAATTATATAGCATTTGTAAAATTAGCTGAGTTCACGGGATGTTAAGTTCCAGCTCTTGGCACTACCTCTTGACTGTGTTGGCTGACTGGAACTTTGTCATTATTGGCTTTTTGACACCACTAATGTATCTAGTTTCTACTGTGGAAATGTCTAGGATTACGTCATTTCTTTACTAGTCTATACAAAGTTATAAATTTATCTTCGTATCTCGTACAGTTTACAGATGTTTTTTTCGGCTCTAGTACCAACCTCCTTTTTTTTTTGTGTGAGAGGTTTAGGTTCCACAATGGCGCTACATACTCGAGGACTAATCCTACGTATGTGTTAAAAAACTACTGATTGGTGAGCAAACACTAAGAGCTTTCATTAAAATCCCACGGCTGAAATGCTTCCAAATATATCTTAGTGTAATGAATAAGACGCAGATGCAACACTTGGGTGTCCTGACTAAACGTTTCGTCTGCTGAACAGACTTCTTCACTCGAATGCAAGCGAATATAACACTGGAGACAGCAGCAGCAGTAGTTTAGACGTGATTAGTCCCTCAAGCCTCAGGAGGGACTGACAGACTGATCCCGTCAGAACTACTTTTCACTGTCTTTCGTGTCATATTCGCCAGTATTAGACTGAAGAAGCCTGCTGGGCAGGCGAAACGTTGTATAGTCAAGCTACGTAAGTATTGTAATAATGCTGGTAGAATTACCGACACTGTTAGGTAAAAGGACACAAGTGCAACTAATGTGACATTTTATTGTGCCAACGTTTCGCTCTCCAGGACCTTGATAAAGCTCCTGGAGAGCGAAACGTTGCCAAAAAACGTCACATTAGTTTCACTTGTGTCCTTTTACCTTACGTAAATATTGTCCACGTGTCATGTTCATCAATTTGTCGACTTTGTACACCGTCCGGGGACGGATCTGCTGTGAATGGTGTATTGTGCCTTTCTGTTCTTTAAAACTACTTGTTGGCATAAATTACCAAGTGAGTGATTCGTTGTTTTAAATTTCTTAAAGCCCATTGTCATTATAACTTTGACCATAATTTTTAAAGGGGTGGACCGGTAAGCCAGAGGAAGGCCTCGGTCAGATGACCAAAAGCTCCAACGGCGGGTTGGAAACGCTTGTTCTGTTTCCTGACAAACATTACCTAACCTAACCTTTTACAATGGTTCATAGAAGTGTATTAATACGACCCCGTTCTGTGATTTTTTTTTTTACATGTATTATGGACACGTATATATACCGCAATAATTTGTACAGCCTTATGCATATCAGTTACTTTTACTGACCATAAAGGATCATCACAATATATTGAAGGTGTGAGGAGCTCCCAGGTGAATTGGAGGACCTAACGAAGTTAGTGGAGGAGCTTATGGATAAGAAGAAAACGGAGCCCAGGATGAGCGGATACACTGACAAGGAGAAAAATGCCACCAAGGAAAAGTACCAGCGCCATCTGTCTCTGGAGCAAGGAAGGCAAGAGGATTACCTTGACATTGATGAGGTTGGTTGTGGCATGTCTCTATCCTCTAAAACATACCATTTTACTATAAAAAAAAATGTTTGGTTTTAATTTCTTTTGTCAACAAATATTTTTTATATATTAAAATGATTGCATTAAGCAGGTTAATGTAGTTACAAGCTGGTGATGATGTGCTTGTCAGTCCAGCAGTTCAGTGGTAGCTGATGCTTACGTACGTACTTACCTATTCCATTCCCCACAGGTAATAGTGCCAGAGGCAGCTCCGTCAACACATGTCTGTTTTATCACATTGTATACTAAGTTCTTAAAGAAAAATATCAATGTTTGTTAAGTTGTATAAATTATATTACTCAAGCCGGTTAGTCAGTGTCAGTCGTATACATTGTAGTCATATAGGTACTAAAGGCCTTTACAGCTTCGTTTAAGAGGAGTTACTGATGTGCTGAATCTCTCAGATTTTTGGGTCACCACGATGGATACTGTGGTCAAGGCTGCTTCGAGACAGTGATACTTATATATATCTTCTTTTCCTTAGTTGCACAATTTGGCTTAATTCAGTTTTATGAGGCGTCGTTGTCAGTTGCAGAGTTGTACACAAGCGTTATTAGGATGTCCATACTGCATGCACATTTCTGTTTATATAAATGTTGGACTAAACTCCTGGCCGTCTCTCACACACCTTATCACATCCCTCACATGGAATTAAAAACTCTTGTTCCGGTGTCGACCGTCTTGGCTGGCCTCTTAACTAAGGCTCCAGTGATGGACGATGAGCTAGTGGTCATGGCTGGCTAGTGGCTTTGTTAGCAACACACTCACCTCACACACGGGTGTGAGGTGAGTGTGTTGCTAACGAGTGTGTGTTGCTACGTGAGTGTGTTCCACCCGGCGGGTGGAAACATTTCGACACGTTTCCTTACACCTGTTGTCCTGTTCACCTAGCACCAAATAGGTACCTGGGTGTTAGTCGACTGGTGTGGGTCGCATCCTGGGGGACAAGATTGAGGACCCCAATGGAAATAAGTTAGACAGTCCTCGATGACGCACTGACTTTCTTGGGTTATCCTGGGTGGCTAACCTTCCGGGGTTAAAAATCCGAACGAAATCTTATCTTATCTCACACTGAGTGTCCGTGGTTCGATCTCCGACACGGATGAAAAAGTTTAGTACGTTTCCTGAGACCTGCTGTCCCTGTTAACCTAGCAGTAAGTAGTTATTTTGGTGTGGGTCGCATCCTAGGAGACAAGACTGATAGACCCCAGTGGAATAAGACAGTCATCGATGATGCACTGACTTTCTTGGGTCATCATGGGTGACTAACCCTCCGGACTAAAAATCCCAGGGCGAAACATTGTGATTCGAAGATGCTACTTTGTCCTTATGATCTTTAGAAAAAAAATCAGCAGGTGTGAGAAAATTTCGTCATTAGTCAAAATAAGATTTCGTCATTGTTTTTAAATCCCAATACGACATTGCGACAAATATTGTTTAATACTTGAGCTAAGTTACCCCATAAAATTAAGAAAGAAAATGGTTAAACCTAAAAATGAAATATGGTAAACTCAACTATTTAGAGAAAATATTTTGCCTAGAATTTTCATAAGTAAATCTGGCTGCAATTTAACTGAAACATTAGTACACGAAGGATATAAAAGAAGGCTGAAGAACTATAGTGTAATCCTGCTATTTCAGAAGAGATGTCAAGACAGGTTTAATATTCCCACTTGTGTTGGGATAGACCCGAAATGTTCTGCATAGCTATAGACCTTCAAAATAATAATAATAATAATAATAATATTCTCAAGTGTCATCCATCTCTGTATAAACAATGTCTAATATTTAAATAAACTTGTCAAGAGAGGGTGAGGTGTATGGGTCACCGCATCCTACTTATCTAATTGTCTTGGAGTGGTTGCAGGGGTCGATTCGTAGCTTCTAGACCCGCTTCTTAGCTAGTCGCTAAGTCCACTCTCCTCGGGTCCAGAGCCTCATTGTGCCTCTTAGTTATGTACGAATTCCGGCTCTAGATCACCCGGTGGCCTGGTGGCTGATCTCGCTTCACACACGGAGGGCCCGGGTTCGATTCCCGGCGGTGGAAATATTTCGACACGTTTCCTTACATTTGTTGTCCTGTTCACCTAGCAGCAAATAGGTACCTGGGTGTTAGTCGACTGGTGTGGGTCGCATCCTGGGGGACAAGATTGAGGACCCCAATGGAAATAAGTACAGTCCTCGATGACACACTGACTTTCTTGGGTTATCCTGGATGGCTAACCCTCCGGGGTTAAAAATCTAAAGAAAATCTTATCTCTAGTTTGTTCCAGGTTGTTCCACTTCCTAATAACCTTATGGAACTTGTACCATCTGTAATAGATGGTGTTTGTGTGTGAATGAGAGAAAGTAAATAAGTTAATTTAGACACAGGTACACGTAAGTATAGTTATCATGCATAGTGTAAATTACCCAGGATAACCCCCAAAAATCAGTCAGTGACTTATTTCCATTGGGGTCCTTAACTGGAGTGGTTATGCCTTTAGCTTATATCTGAAGGACTCGGATCGCACCTTGGGATCAAATGGCTTTCTTAGATTCGGTTATTAACCCTTTGGGTTAAGTACTTAAGCAAGAAATTTTATTTAAGTACATATACACATAAATACAGTTACATAAATTATCATACATAGCAGCATATGTGTACCTAGGATAACCCACAAAAAAGTCGGACGAAGTGAATTATTTCCATGATTATAATCCGCATAACATTTTCAGACCTTGCCCATGCTAGGCAGGTGTAATACACAAAAATTAGAAAAATTTAGCATGTTTGCAGTTAGCTGTTTATATCGCTAAACGGAATTATTGTAAAACATGTGCAAGGTATTTATTTTTCAAATAGCGGAGTCTGTCATACCTAGTTTTCTATCGTACTTATTTTCCTTCATGATTGAAGGGTAAACTAAGTTAAACTTTTAGGTATGTTTCATGTGCCGTGTTTGGCGAAAACGTAATAGCATAGATTAAGTAAGTTTTTATTTAGGATCAGGTACAAATATAGTTACATAAATTATTATACATATTAGCGTATGTGTAGATTACCTAGGATAACCTAAAAAAAAAAGTCAGTGACACTTAGGACAAGCAGGATCCGAACCAGGGAGAGCCAGACCAGCTCTCTAACCATTTTAAGTCTCCAAAACTCGTAGTGAAGCTGGTTCTGTGGGTCTTTTTCTTTAATAATAAAAATAATTCTTGTTTCTGTCATATTTCCTGGAGAAAGTATGACAATGTATCGGTTTATCTTGCGAGTTCATACAAGTTGCTTGCTCCTTCGTCGGTTGACACTTTAACTGTAACTGATTCTCTGTCATCCATAAATGCTCTCAACTCATTAAGTATAAATTATGGCATGCTCGTGTCAGAAGTCAGACATGGGTATGGTAAGATTGTGGACATTAGAGTCAGAGTGCACATGCTGTGGATTCCATCTCACATTGGTCTTCAGATGCAGGATAGATCTGATGCATTGGCTAAGCTGTATGCTTTCAAAGAGGGAGTAGATTACAATCTTGGGTTGTCAGTTAGCAGTTTATGAACAATTATACGAAAAGAACTTTATTGACTTAAGGCTTAGGGAGACTGACACAAGTCAATCCATCTGTCATCATTCCATCATGCAGGAGGAGCCACATGTCTATGGTGCATCCAACAAGATAAGCAGACTCTTAGATGTCACTACCGCCCGGCTCAGGCTGAGTTACAAGTACATATCTTCAAAGGGCAGGTTAAATTACCACCACCAGATGTAGACCAAACGAAATGTAAACTTTGCCAGAAGGATTATTGTCACACCCTGCGTCATTATGTACTGGAGTACAATAAAATTAATGAATTTAGAGACAACTCAGAAATGTTCAAGAGATGGCAAAGTATTTTATCCACAGTGGTATATTACAGACCATTCTGGAGAAATACTCTGACTTTGCTAGCTGTACATAAAGCATTATCACGTGTGTGTGTGGGGGGGGGGGGCGTGCTTGTGTGTATGTATAAGTTTGTACGCTCGTGTGCATGTGTCTGTGCGTGCGCCCTCGTGTACTCACCTAGTTGTACTCGCCTAGTTGTACACACCTAGTTGTACTCGCCTAGTTGTAATCACCTAGTTGAGGTTGCAGGGGTCGAGTCCCAGCTCCTGGCCCCGCCTCTTCACTGTGCGTATGTGTGCGCGCTCGCGCTCGTGTGGGTGTATGACCCAATTAATATTTGTATTTATAACTCGTTACAATTGTGACCGGGTGTGGACGTGTCAGTGGTTCATTACTTGGTAATTTGTTCATGATTGTAACCATGTATAGGAGTGCAGATGGCTCATTACCTTTGTAACTTGCCATGATTGTGACCAGATCTACCTGGAGTTCATTACCTTTGTAACTAGTTCAGCTATCATAACTTTGGGGTCCAGTCCCTGGACCCATTATGTACCTTTGTAATGTTTTGACTACCGCCCACAGGATGGGTATGGGCTGCATAATAAACATATTAAACTAAACTCCTTCGTCAGGGGGAAAACTCTTGAGAGGGATCATTTCCTAAATGGTACTGGCACTGTGATGGGGAGCGGCAAGATTGTGTATACAAGGGTAATGAGAAGAACAAACTGTCAGTCATTGAAACCAATACCTTGGCCAAACTTAGCTCCGATACTAGTCTAGAAGCGAATCTCTGGATTTGTTCTAGTTTCTTCATAATTTATTAGGTATGGGTTCCACAGTATATGTTTTGGCTTCCCAGGAAAACACGGGGTACCAGTGTTTGAGTGTCTAGTATGCAGGGACGACCAGGTTCTTGGCCTCAACACAGCCACTTGTAGCGCCTCCTACGGCCCTCACAGATACTGCATCCCTTGTATCACACGGTAAGAACACACCTGATTTTTTAATGTTAATGTATAAATTTATCATCAGTTGTTTGATAATATATTTAAAAATGTATACTGAGGCCTACGTGCTCATAATAGGCACGTCTAATTCATTGCCAACTATTCCCACTACAATATTTTAATTTCTACTGGATTATGTTAAGAGTAAGTTGTTTATTATGTTCCTTATTCTAATTATTTGTTTGCAAGACGTAGTCATAACGGAGGACTTAAATTTTAGTCAAATTGCCTGGGATTCTGGAGTCTTACGGCTAACTTGAGGTAATTCAGAAATGCATTTTAGAACAATGTAGCTTGAGTAAACTAAATACTCTGCTGTATTTAATTCTGGCAATATGGAAGTTCTGATAAATAATCTTGATCACGAAAGAACTTGGAACTTGCATTCACAAATATACATGTATATAATGTTAACTGGAAGCACTGTATGATCTTTAGAATAATGCTGTTATGGCCTCTCATTTCCTAGTACCCTTTCTGTAGACAGCAAAGAGGCAGGAAAACATTAATTTGCGCTAGTGTTGCAGATTAGTGAAACTGCCAACATGTCTTGTATACATAACTAGACTCACGAAATCGTAATGACACGATTGCAAACAAAGCATACCACGGGTGTGGTTTGAACCCGCGATCACTGTGCCTCAAAACTCCATATCTGGCCCAGTGGCTAACGCGACGGTCTGGAGTTTAGAGACTGATCGCGGGTTCAAACCCCACCCGTGGTATGGCTTGTATACATATTTCCCTATATTAATACCATCACTTAACTAATAATGCAGTGCTCCTTGCATTTATATTTTAATGTGAACGGGCTCATTTGCCCCACAGATATGTTGCTTCGCGTATAGGAGAGGGCCAGACGCATTTCAAATGCATGGATGAAGACTGTGGCGCAGAGTTCCAGGATAGTGTCCTGCGTAGGGTAATGACCAGACAGGAGTACGCTAAGAACCAAGAGCGTAGGCAACAAGAAGACATAAGAGTCTCCGGAGTGAAGAACCTGGAAACATGTCCCTTCTGCAATTACAGCGTCATCATGGAGGATCCTCAAAGCAACATGTTCTTGTGCGAGAACCCGTTGTGTCTCAGGGAGTCCTGCAGGTTGGTAATGGTGGTGGTTTGTTCTTCAGGAAATAGGAAAATTGCCTGCGATATGGATCTCTATCTGTTAATGACTCGTTAAGATTTTTTTTCACAGCCTTTACAAAACAATGGATCACCAAATAATATTGTCCTAGGATGAAATTCTGCCAACTAAGCGGTTAGTATCCATCGTATCCATCCTGTGGACGGTATTGCAAGAGCATATGGATACACAAAAGGCCTAGGGATTAGCCTCAAAAGGGTTAGCAGGAGCACATATAGATTTATATCTACAATTGTCTTATTTTTTGGTAGCAAATTTAGGAAATTTGCTTAATATGTCCGATACCTTATTTTCATTAATAAGATATCTTGACATATCACACGGGTTATTCCCCAGTACCTGGACAGTTAAGCACAGTGTTTCAAAATAGTGACCATAGGGCCAACCACATACTTTGCTGGGGTTATGAGATACAAGGATACCTTCCTTGAATCACACAGCGATCGAAATGCGTCCAAGTTGCCAGGTATCGCACTTAGCTCACACACTGAGTGTCCGTGGATCGATCCCCAATACAAGTTGAAACAATGAGCGTGTTTCCTTAAGACACCTGTCCCTGCTCACCTAGCAGCAAGTAGGTATCTGGGCGTTAACCAAATGGGGACAAAATTAACGCAAGTTGCCCTAAGTGCTCTGCATAACCAGGGGCTTTCTGTATAGCATATTATTGACATCAGCTATGTCTGTATAAGCTGTATCATGTAACTGTAGAAATATATATTTATTATTATAAATGACCCCTAACTGGTTTACCGGAGCTAGATTTTACACCTAAAATAAAAGAATCAGTACCTAGAAGTGATGATTCTAGCTAGTATCACAATTTGTTTTTTAAGATTCACCTGTAGTTACCCCTTGAATCATACTCTTTTTCTATGACCAATTCGCTATGTGGGAAGTCACTTGAGTTCCATGCAGTAAAATGATATCTATGGTCAGGTTGTGTAAGGAGGCAACCCACGTGCCCCTGAGATGTGAGGAGGTAGAGAGAGATCACCAGACAAAAGCCAGACTTCAGATTGAGGAAGAAATGTCGAAAGCCTTGATAAGGTACGTCAGATTATGCTGTAAAATAAGATTTTGTTAAAATAATCTTGTTAAATTCAGTTTAATTTACATCTTTTATTCGGGTTGCAGAAATGTAATTAGAATTTATTTAAAAGACATGTTGGAAAAGTATTAAAGTAAGACTTCATGGATATAATCACAACTATTATTTTTAAAGGAATGGAGGGGTAAGCCAGTGGAAGGCCTCGGTCAGATGACCGAAAGCTCCAGCGGCGGGTCATCGTATGACTAAGACCCGCGTCAGGAAACACTTGTCCAATTTCCTGACAGATCTTACTTAACCAACCTACATCACGACTGTTGTCTTCCAGGAAGTGTCCAGATTGCAACACTAACATCGTGGGCGAGGCTGGCTGCAATAAGATGACGTGTCCCTGTGGCACTGTCATGTGTTACATCTGCAGGAAGAAAATCACCGGTTACGATCACTTTGAAGACAGTCCTTCTCCTGTTGCCAAGTGAGTTTTTCAATAACACCGATGGTATATACAGACTTAACCCGTTCCCTGACAAATCTTACCTAACCTAACCTAGTTGAAGAATCAGATACGTATGCAACAATTGGGTATCGTCTAAAGACATTTTGCGCACCAATAGTTTTAACAACACAATACGGGGGAGGGAGAAAAAAAAAACACGAGATGAAAACTGAGGTAATCGGTCCCTCACCCTAGGTGCTAGGCTGAAGGACTGATTACATTTTGTATTTTTGAGTTATACGTATACTGTTATTTCTTCTTATGATATTATACAGTTAGGAAACAATAGCTCCCTCAAAAGATAGTAAATAACTCAAAATTTCGCATCATGTCGCCGGACACTGTTTCTTCACTCGTCGCTAATTATTGCGCGTTTCTTTGCTGGTAATTAATTCCAGGCTTCACACAGTCTTACCTGGAGAGTATACTTGGAGTGGGTTTCGGGGTCAACGCCCCCACGGCCCGGCTTGTGACCTGGCCTCATGGTGGATCAGGGCCTGATCAACCAGGCTAATACTGATGGCCGCACACAACCCGACGTACGAACCACAGCCCGGCTGGTTGGGTCTTGGCGAGTTCCCTGACTCCTGGAAGATACTCGAGTTGACTCAAGAAATCGTAATGACACGATTGCAAACAAACCATACCCCTGGCCGGGATTGAACCCGCGGTCATAGTCTCACAAAACTCCAGCCCGTCGCGTTAGCCACTAGACCAGCTAGCCACAATAAGATTCATCCAACTAGGTATATTTCTACACCATAGAAAGGTTAGCACAGGCACCTCTGTGACCACAAATGCAAGTTTTTACAGACGAATCTCCAGCTAGCGTGGCCGTGACGAACTCTAGCTCAAGTCCCTTCACTGCCGGCATTTGTGGTCACAGAGGTGCCTGTGCTAACCTTCCTATGGTGTAGAAATATACCTAGTTGGATGAATCTTATTGTGGCTAGCTGGTCTAGTGGCTAACGCGACGGGCTGGAGTTTTGTGAGACTATGACCGCGGGTTCAATCCCGGCCGGGGGTATGATTTTTATACTCGAGTTGTTTGCCAGAAAGTCGATATTAGACTTGTGGTGGGGGGAGGATAGTACCTTTAAGAACAACAACCTTGATGTCGGCGATGAGGAGGGCTCATGATCCAGGAAAATGGAGATACCCCCTTTGTTTTATCCAGCGCCATTGTTTCCCATCCTCCAGGCGCTATATATCCAGCCCCTTAGGGTTTAGCAAGTAGTGGAGTGTGGTAGCATTTTTTTGTACTAAAATTAATATATATATATATATATATATAATATATATATATATTATATATATATATATATATATATATATATATATATATATATATATATATATATATATATATATATATATGTCGTGCCGAATATGTAAAACTGGTCAATTAGCAAGAAGTCATTTAAATTTAAGTCCCTTGTAAAATTTTCTCTTATACGTTTAAAGATATATTTTTTTCATTAATGTTAATGTAAAAATTTATAATTTTGCTCCAAAAGAATCTTAGAAAACTTACCTAACCTTATTATAACAAAAACAATTTATTTTAGCCTAACCCAACTAAATATATTTTAGATTTGTTTACAATAATTTAATACTAAACAAACACAGTGAAATATATTTTTTTCGTTAGGTTCAGAATGATTTTGGCGAAATTATTGCATACATAAATTTTCGCTTGTCTCATATGGCAAGATGAGCGTTGCTATTTAAGCCAAGATCGCAAGTTCTGCCTATTCGGCACGACATATATATATATATATATATATATAATATATATATATATATATATATATTATATATATATATATATATATATATATATATATATATATATACACATGTATATGAATTATTATATTCGTGAAGCACTAAACCTGTAAAAGTCTTAATATTTTACATAAAAATTAAAAATATTTATATTTTTTTCAATAATTTTCACGCTTTTGATATTTTTTCTTTTACCATTTAAAGGAAATTAAAAATTACGCTACGGTTACCATGTATATAATTTTTTTAATGACGTTTTGCCAAGAGGTGATAAATTACTATAATTATTTACACAGTAAAATCTTAAAATAGAATCACATGGGACTAACTAAATTTTTTCTATCATTTTTGGGAAATTAACATTAACATTTTTTTTTTTGTAAAATGGCGTTTAATTATAGGCGATTATATTGCTATAAATTTTTTTCATATAGTAAACCTTAAACCAGAATCACATAGCAGAAACTAATGGAATAAAAAACAATGTGATGAGTATACCTTCGTAGCATTTTACAATCGTACCCCCGAGAGTTGCTTCAAGGACGGGGGCGTTGACCCCCGGAACACCCCCAGGTAGACTACAAACTTGCATCTTAACGTACCTTTTTCGCGGGTGTGTCGGGTAATAAGCAGGTAAAGCTTTAAACATAAGAATGGAGGAACACTACAGAAGGCCTACTGGCCCATACAAGGCAGGTCCTTATGAAAGCCACACCACGAGTGAAACTGTGTAACAGAGGGGTAAACGTTGTGACGATGAAAGGAAAATAAAACGCCTTGTTCTCTCACATTTATGACCTCTAATTTTGCGACATATTTTAACTAGTGAGAGAGAAATTTTTTTTCTTTACGTATATATTAATGGGTCTGTTATTTTTTTTTCTATAATTTTGAAGGATTTGTTTGTTTGTGTATGTATGTTGTGTATGTATGTTGTGTGTATGTTGTGTATGTGTGTATGTATGTTGTGTATGTTGTGTATGTGTATATGTTGTGTGTATGTGTATGTTGTGTGTATGTATGCTGTGTGTATGTATGCTGTGTGTATGTATGTTGTGTGTATGTGTATGTATGCTGTGTGTGTATGTATGCTGTGTGTATGTGTATGTATGCTGTGTGTGTGTATGTGTATGTATGTTGTGTGTGTGTGTGAGAGAGAGAGAGCGAGCGAGCGAGCTTGCCAGGTTTCCGTAAACCATACGAGCTTCTTCATCGTTCCAGGTGTCCACTATGGAGGGACTACAAGATTTTGCATTCTTCAGAGGTTCGTGTTGCAGCCATGGCCGCGAAGAGTGTCTTGGATCCTAACCTGAAGCTTGTTCACGACCCCACTAAACATATTCCATGAAGCCCAATGAAACTAAATAGGTGTTGGGAATATTTTGTTGTTGTTGCTTGCAGGTTACGCGTCGTGGACCTTTATACTTGCATTTATATGTCAACATGGTGTTGAAGCCTCTGGGAGGAGGGTCGTAGCCAAAGACTCTTGCTCTTGAAACACTTTTTGGTAATGCATTTCTGTTTCATAATTGTCTGTTTCCCCACTCTCTCTCTCTCTCTCTCTCACTATTTCACTCTCATAAATTTTTCTCGTTCAGGCATCTTTCTTTTGTACATCTTTCTTATACATCATTCTCTCAAATATCTATCCCTTATTCATCTCCCCCCTCCCCATCCTTCACACACTGCCTCTCCCTCGTACTTCTCTCTCTCATACATCTTCCTCCCCCTCACATCTTCCTCCCCCTCACACACATCTCTTCCTCATTCACCTTCTTTCCAACACATACTTTTATCTTGTTTTCAAACACTTCTGTCTCATCCCTACGCTGTTCTCCCTCACACTTTTTCCCTCCTTCATACACGTCTTTACTCGCACTTGGGTTCTTCCCCCACACATTCCCGTCTCCTTTATCATCATCTTGTCTCTTCCTCGGATATTATCTGTGTTCTTATCTTGGGTTTCAAGCTGCTGCCCGCTACTACAGGTGCTAAACTTGTCACTCTCCATATCTGGTGTGACCTGACGGCTGGAGACTTCAGGTCATTGTGGGTCAGGTCAGAAAGTGTGTGCGTGTACTAGCCTATTTGTGGTTGCAGGGGTCGATTCACAGCTCTTGGCCCTGTGTGTGTGTGTGTGTGTGTGTGTGTGTGTGTGTGTGTGTGTGTGTGTGTGTGTGTGTGTGTGTGTGTGTGTTGGTCACATGACATTATTACCTCAGATGTTGCACTTAAAGTGAAGTAAATATCTCTCTCTCTCTCTCTCTCTCTCTCTCTCTCTCTCTCTCTCTCTCTCTCTCTCTCTCTCTCTTTAAATTTATTATGTATGAGCTGGGGAGAGAAGTGTTGCTCTTTTCACTATATAAATATTATACCAGGGTTGCAATTATTAAAATAGAATTTGCAGCATTTGTTGTACAAAAATACTTAAACATTTCATCTCGTCGACGCCGTCATTTATATTAGATTCCTCCCGCAAATGTCCCTTGGGTTAACTATTTGTCACAGACTCCCTGAGTAAATGTCCTGCCTTCCATGCGTCTTGTCACGAAGAAAAGGCCTCCCACGACAAAGGCAAAAGCGCCCACCGTAGGAAAACCGTGAGGGTGGGAATAGACCTGACTGGGCCTTTTGTGTCCACTCACTCGACGGTCTGGCGATTAATTGCCAGATAAACGGTGGTGGTTTAAAGGAGGGTTTAGTGTGCGTCTTTCTCGCCTCACACTGTCGACAAAATTTGTCTTTTGGCTTTGTGTTTACTTGTTTTAGTTTTGCGAGGGGTCGAAAATCCTGGTCTACCATCTTCAACTCTATCAGTCCTCTCATACCCTGTGCTACAACTGTGTGTGAAGTCTGTCTCGGCCACTTCATCCCACTTCACTATTTCCTGACTTTCCTGTGCCTTGAATTTCGTCTTGTCAGAATACTTTGTAAGTCGTAATCAAGTTTCCCCTAGTGTTTTTTTTTTCCAGCATCAGGTAGAGTCCTTTCTATCACACTCTACTACTATACTGGATTTTAAATTCCTATTAAATGAAATTCTATGATTGTATATATTAAATATTTTGAATAAATTCTAGTTAATGATTCTGGGCACGAGAAAATAAATAGTATTTATAAGTTGTAAAAGCATATTTATGTTTCTGAGTGAAGATTCTAATATTTAGAAAAATAACGGTGGATGAATGTAGTAGGTCTACTGGCCTAGACCTACTACATTGTCTGTCTACTGGAGCGGCTGTCACAATTATTGCCGCTCAAGTATCTGCCTAACTTGTTCATAGAGCATTAAGAAGTATTGGCTTCCGCAAGGCAACTTGCTCGTTCCATTCGCCTTCATTTACGTTACAGGAATGGTACAAAGTTAGGATTCGATAGGTAATAAAAGTCAATAGCAGAATGGAACTCCACAATAACAACGTTTCGCTCACCCAGTAACTTTATCAACTAGAACAAAAAGTTATTTTAAATTGTTCCATGCAACAATTTCTGTATTACATTGTTCATATCGACATTTTGTACCTTTCACAACTTTGTTCAGGAACTTAAATAAAAAATTTTACATAAATTTTCAGATTATAAATCGTTAAAAATTTACTGATATCCATATTTTTGTCTGGTGGTGAAAAGGTTAGGACCCCCTTAATGACCCTAATGTGGCCGATAAGCTTGAAACCCACACCTCATTAACCGCTCGTGTTCATAATGTTTTTATCCCACTGTTCCATATCTATTAACAAAATTCCTAGCGGGTTTAGCGCTTGGTTTTGATTATAATAAAGTAGCAGCGTTGTATGACCCGTGTGAGTTTGGAAGCAACGCTGATGGTATCTTTCCACACGACTTTATATGGGAGATGGAGGTGTCTGGCAGATGGTGTCTGGCAGATGGTGTCTGGGAGATGGTGGTGTCTTGGGAGGTGGTGGTGTCTTGGGAGGTGGTGGTGTCTCGGAGATGGTGGTGTCTTGGGAGGTGGTGGTGTCTCGGAGATGGTGGTGTCTGAAATATGCCACTCGGAAAAATGGCACTGAACGAGAAAAGATACTTAAAATGGCCCGGGGGGGGAATGGCACTGACTGAAAAAAGCAGAACTGATTTTAAAACAGTACTGACTAAAAAAAAATGGCATTACTTGAAGAAAATGAGAGGTGCCTTGATGTTGGCAAGGGTCTCTTGATCTAGGACCCTTCAAGGAAGGTTCCTTGATGTTGGTGAGCGGTCAGCAGTACATGACCTACCAGTTTCATATAGAGGTGTTCCATTTACGGATTATATTGCTGCAATAGCTACCCACCTTCACACCCGTTGGCAACAACGTTGGTCTACTCTGCTCGGTAACAAACTTCAATCTATTAAATCGAGTATAGGTTACTGGCCGTCGTCTTGTCACCAGTGTCGAGGTTGGGAGACTACTCTCTCCTGTCTTCGCATTGGCCATACTCGTCTTACTCGTGGATATTTCATGGAGAGGCTCCCTGCTCCTCTCTGTGAGAATTGTCAGGTTCCATTATCAGCCAGCCACATTCTGTTAGACTGCCCACTTTATCAACGAGCACGTAGAATTTACCTCCAACGTCGTCTTCGCTCCGCTGCTCTCTTTACCTTCCCTTCTCGCTGATGGAACCACCTTTCATCCGGACACTCTCATTGACTTTTTGACAACAACTGACTGACTTCACAAACTCTGATGATACCTTCAACCCTTTCTACCTCAATCTCTTGCTGCCCTCTACCCCCGCACTATCCCCTGCCCCCCCCCCCTCAAGGGAGGTTCCGTGACACTGGCGAGGGGCTCTTGATCTAGAGAATTGGATCTGTGCTCCAGTTCCCTGAATTAAGCCTGAATACCTTCCACGTCCCCCCACAGGCGCTGTATCCTACGGGTTTTGCGCTTCCCTCTTGATTATAATAATCTTGATTTAGGAACTCCAGTCCTTCCACTTGCTCTGATCAAAACCGATGGCTTCCCATTCCCAAAGAGCTCTATGCCCTTCCCCTCTTCCCTAGGTGTAATTACTCTGTTTCACGTCTTGTCTAGTTAAATAAACTTGATAAAAGTATATACGCGTTAAAACACACATGACGCTGTTTCCTGGCGTATTTCCTGACAAAACACCACTACCACCATCACCAAGCATCTCTACAATCGCTCACCATTACCAGTCACCACCACCACCACCGTCAACCATCACTACCGCCACATCTGCGCTATGCCGTGTGGAGTGATGCTCACATCAGTGCCATGTGTGGGTAATGCTGACATCTCCAGCGCTGTGATGTGTGCAGTGATGCTGTTTTATTCACATACACAAATTTTCGCTTGCCTCATTCGGCAAAAAATAGCGTTGCTATTTAAGCCAAAATAGCAAGTTTTACCTATTCGGCACGACATGTATATAAATTAAGGGAAGTTACCTAAGATTGAACAAAATCATACAAGGCTCCTATACTTAAGGAAAATAATTAGAGTGCAATATAGAAAATAGTTCCTAAACACTGTGTTGAAATATTATTGAAAGACGGAGTGAGATGGTACGAAATGCCGACACAAATAGTGAAATAGATTATTTCGGGAAAGTTATTGGACAGAGTTGATCTGTGGAGTAGCAAGTCGGATTTAAGAATGAGAGGGACTCCAGCGTTCGCACTCAAGTATTAGTGAAATAATTAAGATTGGGGGGGGGGGGAAAGGAGTCGTTTTGACGCTTTACTGGATTGATAAGAGACATGTGACAGTGGCTGGTGTTCCAGATTTGTGGAGTAAACAACGAAATGTTGGAAACTGGGAAGAGCTTTCATGAGAGCGAGGTTCAGGTTAGGTATGTAGGGGAAAGGTTGGAATCACCTGCATTGAGGAGGGATTCACATGTATTGAGGATTCATTTTCACTGAGGAAGATTATCCTGCACTGAGGAAAGATTCGCCTACATTAGAGGATTCACTTGCATCAGTGAGGGATTTACCTGCATTAAGGATTTACCAACACTGAGGATTTGCCTGTATTGAGGATTTTACCTGCACTGAGGATTTTACCTGCACTGAGGATTTTACCTGCAATGAGGATTTGCCTGCAATGAGGATTCACTTGCATTAAGTAGAGATTTACCTGCATCGAGGAGGATTTCACCTGCATTGGAGAGGGATTCCCCTTGCAGTGAGGGTGAGAAGGGCACTGCTACACTGAGGCGCACCAGATCACCTTCCCAGAGGAAGGGTGGCAGCTCGCACGAGCGTACTCTTTCAAGCTCAGAATCGATCACTGCTCTAACAAGCAATTGCTGGATAATAAGAGTCTCGAGGCGAGGTGTAATGAGACCCCGAAGCTAGGAAGATACTCGCAGGAGTATAATTAAAAAATTTTCCCCCAGGTATATTTAAAATAGCTGTCTGGCGAGGATGATTTAGGTATTCAATTACTATCTTTATTGCTCATCTCGCGCTGCTATAAACCACGGTAAAATATAGGACGAAATTGGGGTACGCCAGATTCTGTGATCTGCTCAGTTAATTTACGATCGTGATGCGGTTTTTGAAAGGGGTTCGAACTCTTGCATGTGTACTTCTGTACTATACGCAATTTATCCTTGTTAAGTAGAGAGGTGATGCACATTGAATAAGAATTATTTTCTAAATTATCACTTAGAAAAATATCCAGACTTCAGTAACCGGCTTCACGTGTTTGACTTGGGTTGGACAGCAAGGTATAAAAAAAAATAAGACGTTGTATATATTTAAGCTATATTATCGTAACTCACGGTGGGAGTCATAGCGTTAATTCAATATTATGATTTAGGACATGATACCATCGCAAGTACTCGTCGCAAAACACTCACCTGGCCAATAAATAAATAGGAAATTATCTAGATCACCTTTTGGAGTCTAAATTACACTGCACTGGATTCATGAAGTTGATGTGTTGCAAGCGTATGGTTAACAGTTAACGCAGTTAGTTCATAGGCATGTGTTAAATAGTGCAGTAAACTCTAAAGCGTATGGTAAACAGTGTAGTTTATTCAGAAGCGATTATGTTAAATAGGTGGTTACTTTACGAGTGCATTTCAGATCTTAGGAAATGGATTTGCTTGTATACCTTCACGAGGAAGCGAAAATTTGCTGTATATAAGGTTTTCATGCTGGATTAGTGATTTCATTCTTTTGTTTTGTCTGTATTTCCATAAAATTTCTGATACTGTTGATAGTATTTTTGTAGCTGGTAGTGTAATTAAGGCCACTTCGGAGTACTGTTACAGAACGTACAGTGTGTGTGCGTGCGTGTGCGTGTGTGTGCGCGTGTGTGTAAGACTGAGGTTGACGCCCTTGCATAACACACACACCACAACACACCACACACACACACACACACACACACACACACACACACACACACACACAGGAGCTATGACTCGACCCCTGCAACCACAACTAGTGAGTACACACACAGCTGTGAGACACGTGCGGGTGGATACTCATAATTAAGAATTCACCGCACGCGTCTGGTTGAGAAAAATGGAAGAACGGAGACAAAGGCACTCGTTTAAGGAAGATTAGAGGAAGAGGAAGAGAGAGAGAGAGGAGAGAATGGGAAAAGATGCGGTAAAGAAAGAGGAGGAACATGTAGAGAGGCAAAAGATGAGGGGCTTAATGATGATAAAGAACAGAAGATAGAGGAAGAATAACAAGTGGAGATTGGGTAAGACTTCCCGCGTGTTGCTGCTATCACGTACATTAAGCAACAAGAATGTAAAGATGTGTGCAACATCTGGGTATCTCTGTAGATGTTTCGCCAACCAGTGGTTTTATCAATGCATTACGTGGACATAATTTGAAGAATGTAGAAGTATATACAAAGGATAAGGTAATCAGTCCCTCAGCCAATGGAAGGCCTTGGTCAAATGACCAAAAGCTGCAGTGGTGGGTTATTATATGACTAAGACCCGAGTCAGGAAACGCTTGTCTTGTTTCCTGACGAATCTAACATAACCTCTCAAGGTCCAGCTTCAGGAGTCGCTGGAATATATACTGAAGGAGAGCGGTCGCTGGTGATCCTCGTTCAAGAGAAGCGCGTCCTTGTGGCATTCCTGAAACCACCGGGATATATGAAATCCTACACACAGAGGCGATTACTGTAATTTTATGCAAACAGCGGTCGATGACAGACCACCTTCGGATTAAGCATTTCCCCTGGGTATCCCTGACACACTTAAGATATCCGAAACTACCAAAAAAGTTCTTGTAGATAATTTTAGGATTTAGCTCTTAGTCTGAATAACAATTAGATAATATAACATTCGAGTGAATGTATCTGAGTGACTCAGAGAGTGAGTGCACTCTCCCGCTGCTCTGAGTGTATTGCTTGAACCAGTGACTACCAGGCTAAGCAATGCAATTATAAGTATTGAAGGTGTGATTGCAGCAAGAAGTTGGTTGTTGGTGAATTCTGCTTTCTCGACCTATCTTAAAAAAAAAAATTCTCTTCAGTCTTGAGTGGTTGTAGAACCTCTTTTAAACTAATCTGTTAGTAAGTTTATTCAGGTATACACAAATACAGTTACACAGATTAT